GCCAAGCTGCCTAAAAATTCGTTATTCTCTTCAGGGTGCATTAGAGTACCTTTATAGACAGAGTATGGCCATTTCTGTGCCGGTTCCTCATTGGTCGCGTGAAAATAGGCTGACACGATGTTGTTACGTTGTTACGGCCGTAAATAAACGAACAAGATGGCTGCTATCAGCAAGCAAGTTTGAGGTTATGCACATCTCACATCCTCCTGTGATAAAGGCGAAAGGCAATTTTACCTCGTGTTTAATATGTTGCTACTCTGTGTGTTAAATACTTACAGTTTTAATTTAGTTTTTAAAAATGATGTTTTTCGGGTAAAAACAGCTGAAATATATTCATCTAGACGAGAAGGATCCGTTGCATGCAAGCTTTAAAAAGAGGGACTAGTTTCATTTTCAGAACATGTTGTTGACACTTGTCTTGGTGTTCGCTTACTCCTACCATAGATTCACCTCAAACCGCTATGCTGCATATTTTCATGTCAAAACTGGACAAATTTCATGTCAGAATTAAACAAATTTTATGTCTAAATTGGACAAATTTTGTGAGGCAATCGGAGAAAGTTTATGTCAAAACTGGACAAATTTTGTGTCGAAATTGGACAGATTTGATGTCGGAATTGGAGATATTTCGTGTCGGAATTCGAGAAATTTCGTGTAAAAATTTGACAAATTTCGTGTCCAAATTGGACGTATTTGGTGACGAAATTCGACAAATTTCATGTCAAAATTCCTGAAGTTTGACAATATAGGAGGTGACTATGCGACTCCGCATTGGGAGCAACCGTGCACTCGTCATTGTACGCAGGGATGCTCCAAATCAGCTGGCATACTGTTGGCTGCATGATGGGAAGCCATGAATAAAGGCCTGAGCTTCGATCAAATCGTCGATGGAGTCTCCCGAGAGGAGGGCTTTTGTTGAGAGGACAAAGGGCCTCGTTTCGATAAAGAAACTTCTAAATGTGCCTAAAGTGAAAACTCGTGACCGAAATGGCTGAAAAGTGAAAGGGGGACATCGGCAGGGAACGGAGCCGTGACCCTCGATAATCAACCGACACGCAACTCCCGAGTGCCTTCGGAAAAACCCCCTATGAATATTCAAACGTTGCCACTTCTCCTCCGGAAGTTATCTATTTAAAAGGTTTTCCAAAATCATCGAAAAACGATTTCCACAAAAAAGTTCTACAGCAAAGTATCAATAATGGTAATTTATNAATCAGCAATTAGATCCAAGAGAGCGAAATTTTATAGAATTTAAGGGCATTTGCTCCGGAGGAGCAATTACAACCGCGACGGAAAGAGGGAACAAGATAGCGCATCGGAGGCAGAAGCAGCGCGCTGCGGTGGACGGGCCAAGAGATAGCCAAGAGAAGCGAGCTGCGATCGCGCAGCGATGGGCTCGGACTCGGAACGTACCGCTCCACCCGCCCGCCTTGATTCCGCCGCCGAGCAGTGGCTCTCCGCTCAGCTGATCGCAAGCGATTCTCTAGCGCATGGGTTGGCCCGTGTTCGGGCCGCGCAGCGCGCTGCGCCACCTCCATCCGCCCTGCCGCTTTCCCACTGCTGTGGCTCTACACGTATTTCTGTCTCTCTCTTTTTCTGTTTTTAATGCAATTTACTTACTGAACACCTTTTATAAATTATATTTGCTAAAATGTTCAACATGAAATAGGTGTAATTTTCTTCTATCGTTTGAAATCTTTGGGCAAGCAGTGCTTGCCTTGCTTATCCGGACCGCACGCCACTGCTCCTACCATAGATTCACCTCAAACCGCTATGCTGCATATTTTCATGTCAAAACTGGACAAATTTCATGTCAGAATTAAACAAATTTTATGTCTAAATTGGACAAATTTTGTGAGGCAATCGGAGAAAGTTTATGTCAAAATTGGACAAATTTTGTGTCGAAATTGGACAGATTTGATGTCGGAATTGGAGATATTTCGTGTCGAAATTCGACAAATTTCGTGTCGAAATTAGGCATATTTCGTGTCGAAACTGGACATATTTCGTGTCGAAATTCGACAAATTTCATGTCAAAATTCCTGAAGTTTGACAATATAGGAGGTGACCATGCGACTCCGCATTGGGAGAAACCGTGCAGTCGTCATTGTACGCAGGGATGCTCCAAATCAGCCTGCATACTGTTGGCTGCACGATGGGAAGCCATGAATAAAGGCCTGAGCTTCGATCAAATCGTCGATGGAGTCTCCCGAGAGAGGGGCTTTTGTTGAGAGGACAAAGGGCCTCGTTTCGATAAAGAAACTTCTAAATGTGCCTAAAGTGAAAACTCGTGACCGAAATGGCTGAAAAGTGAAAGGGGGACATCGGCGGGGAACGGAGCCGTGACCCTCGATAATCAACCGACACGCAACTCCCGAGTGCCTTCGGAAAAACCCCCTATGAATATTCAAACGTTGCCACTTCTCCTCCGGAAGTTATCTATTTAAAAGGTTTTCCAAAATCATCGAAAAACGATTTCCACAAAAAAGTTCTACAGCAAAGTATCAATAATGGTAATTTATCCAAGTGTTAAAACTGCAACTGCCTAGTGACTTTGGAAAAACCCCGTATGAATATTCAAACGTTGCCGCTTCTCCCCCGGAAGTTATCTATTTTAAGAAAATTTATGAATCATTTTCCTTGAAAGTTTCTCATAAATTGATGGACAAATGAAAGTCTTTTATGTTCACCCAATTTTTTCAGGTTTATAAAACGATTTGCCGAAAAAAAATTCTATAGCAAAGTATCAACAGTGGCGTGCGGTGGGTTTAGTGACAGGGCAAGTTCTAGCTTGTTTCGCTTTATTCCGTCAATATTTGCTAGAAGTTTGAAATAAATGCCGATTCTTTTATTCGATTTTTATTGGTTCAACGCTTCCGGTCAGAGATAGATTGAACAAATGAGAGTCGAGTGTGAAAATCTTTTCATTTTTTGGTCGTTCTTCTGTCTAAGCGGGCCTAATGGAGCGCGAAGCGCCCTCTGGAGGTTGGGCCGCGTAGCGGCCAGACGACATAACCCCCTAGTTTAGACTAACTCACAGGGGCCTTAAAGGGTGCGTAGCAAAGCCCTCTTTGGGAGTTGAGACGCGTAGCAGCCTCGTTTTGTCCCTACTTTTCGAGACTCGTAAAAATCGAAAAATTTTCGTCTGTTAACTTAATCCATATCTTTTAACCAAATCACATTAATCACACTTAGCTGAACGACCGAGTCGATGCAATAAAAAGTGTAATTATAGAGAGGTAAAAATCGAGGATCCAGATGATTAATCGACTAATGTTTCACACGAGTTCAGCTAATTGAACAGAATCAAAGGCTTTATCTCGTCTTCGGCTATGAGAGAGAGATTAGATCAGTGGCGTAGCGTGCTTTGCGATGTATCGATCGATCTGCCATTTACAAGTTTGGTAAAGGATCGATAGATATGGCGTCCGCAACGAACACCTTAATAATCGATTCTTTACCGCAGCTTCAAATGGGGAAATATCGATAATCGATCATTCACGCCTCGCCACTGAATTAGATCGGAATAATTTTACGGAACTTCCGAGCACCTTTGAAAGCGTTCGAGAAAGGAAAACCGGAGCATAAATATTTCTCTCCGAGTCCTGTTCAGCTTTGATAAGAAGCCGAATATTTTTTTTTTCATAATCGCACCGGATGGAATGCGAACCAAGTTTTTTACACGCTCATTTGCACTCAGCTAAAAAAAAATTGCTTCCATATTTTACATTGAACCTGCTTTGCAAGCGCCTCATTATGTCAACAATGGTAGTGTGCTAAGGAAGAACGCCGAATGGAACGATAGATGTTGCCAAAGGACCCCGCACACTCCTCATTGGAAAACAAAGAGAATATAAAAGCAGCCCGAAACGGAAACGACAATCGAAAACACAGGAAAATGCGGAAACAAGGCTAAAATACAAAATACAAAGGCAGGACGTTTCGTACCTTACGGCACCATTATCAACTGCTAAAATAGAATTAAAAATAAAAAAGAAATTAAAATAAAACCAGCGAACGGCGTTACATGGTGAAATTAGGTATAGAAATGAAACTGCAGTGATAACAGAATAAACAAACAGAATAAATAAAGTGTGTTTGTTGCATATCGTACCTTGTTGTTTATTCTGTTATCACTGCAGTCTCATTTCAATACCAATTTCACCATGTAACGCTGTTTACTGGTTTTTATTTAAATTTATTTTTTATTTTTAATTCTATTTTAGCAGTTGATTATGGTGCTGTAAGGTACAGAAACGTCCTGCCTTTGTATTTTGTATTTTAGCCTTGTTTCCGCATTTTCCTGTGTTTTCGCTTGTCCTTATTGGAATATGCATCAGAATAAATTTTTAAGTTGTTTATTGTATTAAATTCGTTTACGGATGCTGATCAAAAGTCATCGTTGCGCCAACTTTCTTAAGAGCCGCCGCACGGTAGATCGAGCCAAACAGAGAGGTCGGACATGAAATTTTTGACTCAGACTGCAACTTTTGGTTTTTATTTGATCACATTTTACATTTCAAGGAGTGTTCATATTGGAAAATTTCACGATGAAACCAATGTAACCGCCTTTAGAACCTCAAAGCTATGTATAATCGGAGTTATAAGCGTTTAAAGTTTCCAAATTTTGTCCTGAGCGCCGCGCCGTTTTTGTACAATCTGCGATTGGGGTTTCGGTAATTTCCGGGGCAGGCAGCTTAAAATCAAAACGCAGTGCATGTCTGTCTGGAGGACAATAGATGGAGTCTGGAGATAATAGAATGGGAGAGAGAAAGGAACTGATTTGGACGGTAAAAAAGGAAAAGCTTGCGGAATCCGAGATAAGACTGTCATGCGGGACATTACTTGGGTTTAAATTGTCATTGTATTGATCGACTTCATATTAAGCGTTTTTTGTTCAATGTCTAATATTATCCCAATCTTTCCTTGAATTCTGTCCCATTCATCTGTTCCTCTAGCATGACATCTACTACATTTCGTTTATTCATTTTTTGTTTCAGGTGAGATTCCAGTGTGCTCCTATACTCTTCTAACATTTTTCATAGTAAAAAAAGGGGCGTTCCGGTCGGTCAATTTAGGACTCGCAGATCGGGCAGTCTGGATATCCCTTCAGGTTGAATCCGTAAAACATTTTCTTTCAAGTTCAAGTTTATTATTTTCCAGTGCAGTTTGTAAACCAACCAAAAAGAGAAATCGACGGTGTACGTCGGCAATCGCATAACTCGGTTTGCGACGTCGCAGACCTCCTGTCATACTTTATTTTTTAAATGGGAAACAACTCAACGGCAATTCTTTAAAACTGTCATGATTTTTCTTCTCAATGCGAAGAAAATTCTGCAAAAACTTCAAGAATCAATGTCAATTTGTTCTTCTTTAAAAAAATGACGTAGAGGCGGAGATTTTCAGACACCGCAAACGAGATATGTGATTGCCGACTTTCACCGTCGAAATGTAAAACCGGTCGATACGAAAAACATCTCAATTATTTGGCGTAAACTTCTAAAAAATATGTTCTCCGAAAATGATACCTGACAAAATAACTTCTGTGAGGTTAAATGTATTAATTTTTATTCACTAATTACATTTGTTCCTGTACGTTTTTTGATGAGTAGTTTGATTAATCATTTTAAAATACATCATTTTCCTGGCCAAATAGCTTGAATTTGGAATATTTGCTATAGTCCCGGTTTCAATTATTGTGAGCAATCGAGACTCCTGGGCCATAATTTGCATTAAGGGACCACTATTTCTGGCTAATTCTAGAAACAACATATATGCCATTGGTTTCTCAATGCAGAAAGGTGCTTTTATAGAAGAGCCAGAGATAGTGGTTCCTTATTCAAAATGTAATCCTGTACTGGTCTGTACTGCCGTGCTAAGGAAAAACGCCGTATGAACCTTAAGGCGTTACCAAATTCCCTCTGGCAAATCACTAATTTTCAGGAAATTTTTTGAGTATTTTCCCGCCAATTTCTCAGGTAATTTCGTTCGTAACTTGATCTAAAGTGTCTGATAATTTCAAGGAAAAATATTCATAATTTTTCTCAAAAATAAACATTTAATTGAAAGAAATTTGGCAACTCTTGAATGCTCATACGGCGTTCTTTCTTAGCACGGCAGTGTAGGTAGTATAAATTGAACGTTTGAGCGGCGAATGCGGAGGGAATAGAGTTAATAGCCATGCAAAATAAGTAGCTCTTTACTCGGGCAAGGGGGCGGTGTGGGTGGAATTGAGTTTGCAAAAAATTACCTTATCGTCATAAAACCGATCGGCAAGCGCCGGACTTCGTTCGAGAACCTTTTTAAATTCTCATCATCCGCTGCACCGAGAAGCTCACTCATGCTACCGCACCTCTCTCAAAAACCTTCTCAAGTAAGGGTATTCCTTCCACCTAACGACCCCGTAATAATGGATTACCCGCGCCCTCGTGAGAGCAGAATCGTCTGGTATTTCTGAAGGGTACTCATGTATCTTCATGGGCATGATAAGGGAAATTGAGCGTTTAGTTACACAGTGTGGCATCTTCGTGGTTGAATTGCGATTGGCGTTGCAAAGTTGGCCGTTAAGGTGATTCGATGGACGCCATATTTTTTGTCAGAACGGCATGCGATATATCGCATCGATTGGTTCCATTTTTTCAGCTACTCGTTATTTTTCTCCAATTTTGAGATCGCAATTCTGTTGTCAGGAGACTAAAGCACTCTTTTACCAATTTTAACATGGAAATTCAACGTGATAAAGGCGTGGTTTTTTTGGAGAGAAAACATCGCATTCGATACTGAACTCGAAACTGCACTCGAACGCGATATTTTCTCTCTAAAAAAAAAAAACCATATGCCTTTATTACGTTGAATTTCTTTGTTAAAATTGGTAATTGAGTGCTTTAGTCTCCTGACAACAGAATTGCGATCTCAAAATTGAAGAAAAATGACGATTAGCTGAAAAAATGGAACAAATTGATGCGGTATATCGCATGCCGTTCTGACACAAAATATGGCGTCCATCGAATCACCTTAAAGCAACTTAGACGCTCAGGAAATACGAAACGTTGGTGGTAGTCATGGATGCAACTATTCGCACTTCCCGGATGTGCGTGTTGCGTGCAAGAAACAGAGGGCGTTTGCGGTTTTCCGTATTGGTATTGGCGCGTATACGTAGTATACCGCCTTTGCGATCGTTTCGACCCCCCCCTCGATACAATAACCGAGTCCCCTAGTTCCTTACCGAAAAGTGACTACCGCGAACTTCTGCTAATCCGTCAATAATAATGATTAAAATTTGTTTCTCATTCTGGGGCTCGCTAGTTTATGTGTAATGAATACCAAGAGTCTACGTTTCTTGGTTTTTTTTAAAAAAACCTTAGATTAGGGCGCGCTGATTTAAAATCATTAATATAAACTTCGAAGGATTCTGCCTTTTTCTATTTCACTCGAGGGGAAGTGTCCCCTCCCGGACTCTCTTCCCCACCCGGTGACTGACGCTGCGCTGCGCTGTGCTGAACGGTTCAGCCTGAACCTTTCCCCTACGTCTGACCGTTCCCCACTCCTCTGTCAATCGAACCATATGCCACCGCTTACGTATTGTCGCTCGCCCACCCAGGTACCTAGCGGCCAGCGGCGGTCAGTTGATGATAAATCTCGCTCATGCTCCTATGCAGCTACGCATTGATTACGCCAGCTAATTACTTTCTAATAATTAGAATTTCTTCGATAATAGTTTTCTTTATTTATTCGACTGTATTTTTTTCTCTGTTCTACTGTGATTTCCTTGGTTCTCTACTGTGTTTTTCCTAAAACTCTGAGTCAGATGTGTGACCTGAAATCTTCGGTATATACCGAACTACTTCAATTGTCTGACCCGATCGGCAGATGGACCTTAACTTTTCGGATGTGTGATCCGAAAACTTCAGAGATCCATATGATCTCAGCTTCGGGTTCCATGCACAAATTTTTTTCTCCGTGTTTCCTTTTAGGGGACGCAACTAAAATTTCAGTAAATTTTTTTCAGAAAAGTAAAGGGGGGGAAAAAAAAAAAAGTGGCTAACGATGGTTCCTCACCTTCACGTGGTGTTGGCTGTTTTTACTAAGTGGGAACCGTCCATTTTAAGATATAGTCTATTTCTTGCCCTGCCATTATTATTCTACAAG